TTTTCTCGAGGAGAGCAATCCAGCGGAGTCCCTCCCCGGCTTCGAAGCCAGTCGATCTGGCGCAATACGCCTCCTCCATCGACGGCTCCAGTCAATCCTAGCCCCGGGACCTTCATGTGCGCATCCCAACGTATCGAAATCACAGGTTCGAGCGATGAATTTTGTTTCCGGTGGATATCGATGCAGTGGCGTTTCCCACAGTGCGCACCTTTGTACATCCGGACACCTGGACCCTTCAAATGGCCAGGGCAACGAGACTCGTCCGAATCGTACTGATGGGAGGGGTGACTGCATCGCCACGCACGATAACCAGTGCCTCGCCCGGATAGCCATCCTTCCAAATGATCCCAACAAAGCACTGAGTGGTCGCAAATCCTGACATACCCCTCTCTCCCGATGCAGATGCGTTTCTGCGATGGGCCGTGGCGCTGCCGATATGAAAAAAGGCCGGCCGGGTGTTCGGCGCAGCACCCCGAACAATAGAGAAACTCGGTCCGTAGCCGTATGTTGGCCTCAGGGCCCGTCTCGCGGCAATTCTTGCAGAAAAGGTCCTTCTGTAGAAGCGAGCGCAAAGCAGGCATGGCGTCGTCCGGGACCCTCTCGCGGGCTGCCCACGTCGATAGACTGTACGGTAGTCTACCCCGGGAGTTGTCGTGCAGATGTCGAAAGCGGTCGTCCTCGAACAGCAACAAGAAAGCGCGGCTCGCGCGTCGCAGGCACAAGATAGTGACATCATCGGCCTGGCCCATGATGGCCAGCAGAACATTGCTGGGAAGGTCACACAGGCGAATTTTGCTGCCCATATTTTCGATCACGGGTATCTGACCTGACGGGGTGAATGTGAGTTGGTTGGTGGACAGGAGGGGAGATGGGCGTAGACAGACCTTTTATACTAGGAGACAAAATTCGCCGATGGGCGAACTTTAACAAGCCTTCCGGACGCAACACGGCAATTCGGCCGTAGCAGCCAAAAGTTAAGACACCTGATAAGGAAACCTTGAACCCCCTGCCGCACCCCGTGCACCATCCCAAGAATGGAGTTTTGCGACGTGGGAAGGTTGATGCCTCTTCACGGCGAGTGCTGCTCGTGGTGGATGCGGTGTGCGTGCCTGTTATATAGGAAATAATTACCACGTCGTCGTGATAGCGCCTTGCTGGATTGGAAGGCCCTCTGGTGATTGACGATAGCTCCGCCAAACTCGGCGATGCTGGTGACTCGAAAAGTGGCAGCTGGAAAGAGTCACAAAGATTGCCGCGGCGTCCGGCTTGACCTGGACGAAGACGCCAGACGAAACCGGGCGGCAAGGAATGGAAGGCTTATACCGTAGCAGGTTCGCCTCGAGGAGCGGGGATCTACCTCTCGTTGGTTGGTTAGTACCTAGCACTCTCGACCGACATGGGAGAAACGAAGGAGAGGAAGCGACTCACTGTGGTCCCGAATGATACCTAGTATCGTCCAGCCTCTAGTACCCTTTTTCGTCTGTGGCAGATAGGTGTAGACGGAACGCCATTGAATGTTGGCGCATCATTTTGCTTGCTTGTGTGTGTGTGTGTGTGTGTGTGTGTGTATGTCTTTCTGTATAGGCTGCTGCTAGATCGTGGCGCTGCATCCTGATCTTGATTGGTGTTGTATGTTTGTTTTTGTGATGACCCCATATCGGCACGGCCGGTGCTGCGAGCCGAAATTCCCATGATGCCGAGTAGGAGCCGAGCTGGAAGACGCTGAGCTAGATGGCGGGCTCTTGGGGGGCTGAGCTCTCTTGGTTTCGCTGTAGCATTCAAGGGTTGTCGGAATGCCGGAGCTACTCGTCGCCAACACTGCGTAGAAGTGGAACTCGTCGTTGGCGTTGGTTATCCCGTTTTCCTTCGGTCTGACAAGGGGAGGTACTCCCCACACACGCAACACCACACACTGCTGTCCATTAGAGGGTCGTTGGTCCGGGTCGCCGCCCGAGTCGTGGTTACGAGTCGCCGCCCGGGACGTTTAAGGTCGCCGCCTATACCGGTTTTGTACGGGTCGGAGCCCGGGTCGGTTTTGCGGGTCGCTGCCCAGGTCGTGTTTACGGGTCGCCGCCCGGACGGTTTAATGGGACGCCGCCCAGGCCGGTTTACACCGGCTGCGTCTCGGCTTGGCCGCTCGCCACCCGACGACGTACCCGCCCCGCATTTGTTCCGTCCTGAGCGCCGGAGGTGGTGGAATTGTCGTGAGGGGGCTCGTTCTCTTCAGGGGCCTCTTCCTGCTCTTCATTCTCCCGCTGAGGAGGGCCGTCCTTGGGCGTATCCAGGGCGGCGCGGCGCCGACGACGGCGGTATACCACGGCGAGAACTAGTATATTCGTACCAGCCGTCATAGCCGTTGTCAAAATAGCGCAGATAGCCGAAGCCCAATCAGCCCTATGCGGCCCGCCAGCCTCTTTGACCTCCGCTGCCATCTTCTCACCAATCTTCTCTAGGGCGGCACCGATCTTCTCGACAGCGAGGAGCATATCAGCAGCCGCGGTGGCTGCCGGAGGTATGTAGGGCTCGGCCGGGGGATAGACGGTTACTGTATGGAAGGGGGGGACGGGAACCGTAATCGTGGTGATGGCCGTTGTGGTGGCTGTCGTGGTGGCGGTGGTGGTCACCGTGACCGTGAGTGGGGAAAGGGGGGCGGCAGAAACGACGAGAAAAGTGACTAGCGAGGCCACAGAGAAAGCGAGAACCGACTTTATTTTATCGGTTTTGGGGGCAGGCTTGGGACTGCAAAAACACAAGAGACTAGCGACAGAAACGAACGAGACTAGCGACAGAAACGAACAAGACGACATAGAGAGAAGAAACAGTCAAGCACTGAATGGTAGCCCAGAATCAATCACAGGTCTGCAATTTGGGACAAGCCGCTCCTTCCTTATTCAAAATAGGTTTTAAGGAGGCAGGTGCCCCCAACTTGCTTCCAAACTCACATTTACAGCCTGGAGAACCGCAAGGGCCTGGCAAAAACCACCGAACCATGTAGTATGTGCCTTTGGAGATGCAGATCACCTCTATGTATATGCAGCCACACCTCGTGGGATTGAGACCTAATTTTCTCATGATCCTTCTTCTTCTGATGCCGGTTTCAAGCGTGGCATTCTCCGTTCAACAGCCACGGCCGCAAGCAATCCAATCATTTCCCCGTCAAGTTGATGTCCCTTCGCATTGGGTCCAGACACGTGTTGCTGTTTCATGGACGTGGCGCGTTCCTGGTTTGGCCTGCATCGACGCCCAACCCAATTGTGTACAAGCGACCAGATCTGGCACCCGACCACGTTGAATCGAACAGCAGCGCGGGTCATAGGCGCGATCTGTGAAGTGAGGCTTCAACCAGGGGATTTGCTGGATCCAAAGACAATAAGCCACAGAATCGCAATGCAGTCCAGCTCTCAGGTGGGCAAGATGTAAGGTACCAAACGGCAGCTCCATCGTCTCGGGGTGGTTGCCGATTTGCCACTTGATGTGCTGTTCACACATGGGTCAAGAACACATAAAGGCAATGCCCCTGAGATGCAAGCACTTGAACTCTCCAGTTTCTCAAGGATAACACTTTGCGAAACTCCATCCGCGATACTTGCAACCATCTCAGACAACCATTCCTTTGCCCCGTCCCCACAACACATCCGCAACAAGTTCCAGGATGGGCCAACACCAATCCAGACCCGGCAGCCCAAAGGCAGCCTCCCAGCCAAAAGTTGACCCCAAAGTCATCACAACCCCTCCAGCAAACCGACCTCCCACCCCCGCCCCAACCATTGCGTATGACCCTCTGTCGATGCATCCCGTGTCACATCGCCTAACACACCCACCCATCAGCTCAAGCGACATTGTCGAAGTCCCAATCGACACTCCCACAGACGATCCCATCCCGACCCCGAAAGATACCCTCAAGGACGACCTCGACAGAATGCGCACCGAAGTCGAATCCATGCGCAAAGATATGGAGAACCTCCGCCTCCAGCTGTCAGAGCAAGAAAGGATTGCTGCAGAGGACAAGGCGAAACGGGAAGCTACACTAGAACAAGAGAGGATGGAAAGGGAGGAAGCAGAAGCACAGAGACAGAAACAACGGAAGGAGGAAGAGGCCAAAGAGCGGGAGGAAAAGGACGCAACGAGGAAGATTGTGGAGGTGCTTGAGAGGGAGGTCCAAGGACTCAAGGGGAAACTGGGTGAGACGGAGGAAAGGCAGAAAAGGACGAGCACGGATATGGAGAAGATGAGTGAAAAGGTGGAGTTGAGATTGAGGCAGAAGTCGGGGTTTTGTGCTGTGATGTAGTGCCAAGGTGGGTGAGCATTGGCATTTGGCATCCGGCGTTGGGTGTTTGGTGGGCATTCGTTCCGGCGTATTTGTGAAGAGCTCTATTTTTCGCACACCCCATTTTGTTTCTGGCACACCGCTTCCACACATAACCCTGGCCTGCCAATATCTCTGTATGCCTTTGGAATACCACTTCCACCACACTTTAAAATTGTTGACGCGTTGTTTTTTAAACCGGATGCGTACTTAAAATTCCAAATGCCGCGGTTATTAACTTCTGATGCCTTTTCAGAAGGGATAGAGGCCAAAACGTGGTAATAGTTAGCTTTAGTGGCGCTGCCAAAGGCCAGGGTTGTATGTGGGCGCAGTGTGTCAAAACAAAAATGGGGTGTGCGAAAAATAGAGCTCTTTGTGAATACCTAGGTTAGGATACATGATAGTGATATATATATGGAGAGTTTCTATTGTGCATCTATTCAAGTCTGACGACTCGGTCGTGCATCGATGTGGCAAACAAAGGGAGGTCAGATCACACAAGTCAAAAAGAGCAATAGGTCTGACAAATGAGATGCGATCAATTGCCCATTTTCAAAATTGACAAGGATATCTATCTGCAACTGTGCAAAGCACAAGGCATTGTCTCGGTGAGGGTGAGGGGCGAGTTGGGAAAGAAGGTGCGTCGCCCACAGGTCCTAATGAGGCAAAATTCATTAGTAATAGCCATAAAATAGGTGGTTTGGCCGAGCGGTCTAAGGCGCTACGTTCAGGTTCAAATGAATTCAGTTTCGTAGTCTCGCAAGAGGCGTGAGTTCGAATCTCACAGCCATCATATTTTTCGCCCATTTGTACTTGGTCCCACACATCACGATGCAACGCAAAACACCAAGAGAAGAAGCACTTTTGACCTTGATTAGTCTGAGCATTTGCCGGTGAGATGCAGACTGGCAACGGGAGGAGATGTTTGCCGTGCGGGGTTGAGCCGTTGCCTACCGCCGCGCCTTGTTGCCCAACGTCCTGTCGAGAGCCTCATGGCATTACCAGTATATGCCAGAACCAATACCAAGGACAAGCCCGTAGTTTCCAGTCAGAAATAGCTGTCTCGCTTGCGACCTTCTTTCTCTTCCCTCCCGTTCAGCTCTAATGCGCCATTGATCAAGAGCTCTATTTTTCGCACACCCCATTTTTGTTTTGACAGACCGCGCCCACATACAACCCTGGCCTTTGGCGGCGCCACTAAAGCCAACTATGACCACGTTTTGGCCTCTATACCTTCCAAAGAGGCATTAATAGTTAATAAATCGGGGTATATGGAATTCCTAACACGCATTCGATTCAAAAAACAACACGTTAACAATTTCAAAGTGTGGTGGAAGGGGCATTCCAAAGGCACAGAGATATTGATAGTGTGCCAGGAACTAAAATGGGGTGTACGAAAAATATAGCCCTTGATCAAAGGTTCGAACGGAGTTTGTTTGGTCTATGCACAGATGTCAAAAGTCCGAGCCTAACCCAACGAAACCCACAATCCACTTTCTACCTGCTGCACGCCAAATGCACCAGGATGTAGGGTATGAGATGCACTAAGTTGGTCGATAGCACACCAATCTCCTGCATTGATGGTAATTACCGCAGTCAATAATACAAACAGGAAACTAATCAGACGCAGCGTGATTCAAACGGGACACAAGATGCTGCCCGTGAATGAGAACAACATAGATGTTGACCTACTCAATGGGCAGGAGCAAGCTTTAGAAGGGCGCGAGAGCGGGCGGCTAAAGACGGACACCAAAGCTTGCTCACCACACGGCAGTACACTTCAAATACAGCCTGATAACCTGCGACGAATCTGGGCATGTTCGGTCCTGAGGTTGGGTGAGCTGTAGCTGATTTGTTCTGAGCTTTCCCTGAGCTTTTCCTGATTCTTCCCTAAGCCAACCCAAATTCTGGCGAGTAGGAACGCAATGGGGCCTTAAAAAGGGGCCCCCTGAGTGGAAGCGAACCGCTGGAGTGCGCAGCCGGTGCGCTCACAGTTGGCGCTGGGCCGGCCATTACTTTGTTGGATGCTCGAAGCTGTTGACAAAAAAGAAAACGGGAGTTATAATCTAACATAAAGAGACCGGTGGCCCTCATTGGATCAGAGAAAGGGGCCTATCCTGGTTCCAAAACTGAGACAGCACTTAATCTCGAGAGATTATGCACCATTTCAAGTGTATTCCGATATCAATAGGCCTAGTGATGGATAGAATGGACTAGGAAGCTATGAAATTTGTATATGAACTCCCTATCGTGAAGAAAGCTGCTTCTCCTATCTCGTTCGTGTTGCGCCTCCCCTGAGAGTGTCCCGGCAAGGGGCACACGCCGTGGCGTCACAATCGCGACACCGGAAAGCAAACTGCGGTGCCACACGCTGGCATTCCTGGCACATATAAGCACCATCCATTTTGGTCCACCAGCATTTGTGCTGACAGGTCCCACTTCCCGCTGGTCCTCTAGCCGAGGGTCCGGAAGGGTTCCCCTGTTCCTTGCCCCCACCCCCTTGGTTACTTGCTCTCCACTGCCCGCCATTCGCATTGCTCCGAAGACCTGCGTGACCCGACCCAGCAGCCTGAGAAGCCTTTTGCCTCTCCGCCTCCTCCCTCACCTTTCTTGCCTCTCTTTCCCTCCAAGGCTCCCTTTGTCGTTGCTGACCTTGTTTTCGCAACTTTTCTGCGGCAGCCTCTTCTCGCTTCCTCGCCTCTTCATTCCTCTTTCGTATCTCTTCCGCCTTTTTCTTTACCTCTTCCTGCCGTCTTTTCGCCTCTGCCTGCTGCTCCTCCTGTCGCATTTGCTGTTTTCTCATTTCCTCCTTCCACCTCTGCTTCATCTCCGCCTCCCGCTTTAGTCTCTCCTCCTCCTCCTTTTCCTGCCGCCACTTCCGCGCCTCGCCTGCTCTTGCCTTCTCCTCCTCGCTTGCCAAGTTCACCATTGCAGTCTCCTTCAGTATCCTTGCGCTCGAAATACGGCGCTCATACTCCCTGATTCTCGACAGCATCTCCTCCACCTTTGTCTTCAGCCTCTTCTCCTCGGCCTCGCGCACTATCCGCCCCATTCTCCGTTCGGTCGCTCGCCGTTGTCGCGCCTCCTTTTCCTCGGATGTCTCGGGGGTGAGGAAGGAGGCGGCCTGGTCCTTGCGGGCGGCTTCTTCGGCGGCGTCCTTCTCCTCTTCGCGTTGGATGTTGATGAGTTTGGCTCGGCAGCTGGCAAGGCTACGTGCGGTGTCCATGCGGAGAATCTCGTAGCGGGCCTTTTTGGATTGGATTTCGGCAATGAGTCTGTCGAGGCTGGCAATGAGGACTTTGTAGTGGGAAGGCTTGGAGGGGCTAGAGCCGGCATGTGGGTTGGGATCGGTGCCAGTGCTTGTTCTTGGAGGTTGTTTCGGGGGTTGTCTGGCTCGGATTTTTGGGTAGTGGCGGAAGTCATAGTCCCGGCGTTGGGATGGATCGATGAGGGTGGAGTAGGCGGCTTGGAGCTGGCGAGGAAAGAGTTAAGTCTTGAATCTTTGTCGAGGTGATAAGAGTCAAAAAAAAAAAAAAAAAAAAAAAAAAGGCGCCCAACCAGTTGGAAATCAGCGGTTGCTTGAGGGTTTCCTGCGTTTTTGTCGGGGTGTCGGACTTTGGCAAGCCTTTTGTAGCTCGCCTTGATCTCGTCGTCGCTTGCGGTTGGCGTGATCTCGAGGACGGCGTAGTAGTCGTCGTGGATTTCGACTGGAGCCATGACAGCTGGAACATGAATCTAGCCAAAGGAATACTAATACAAGTGTGATTGATCTGTCGTTCAGTTGCTGACTGCTGTGACAGCCGATGTCGAGCCTGCCCATCGAGTGAAGCCCTACCCTACCCCGCTTTCGGGCCGACCTTCTACCCGGCGTGGCCGAAATGCTTGCTTTTCCCATCCATTTTCTTCGAAGTTCTCGGTTTCACGACAGGTCCTTGGAAATCTGAGAGTGTCTATTGGTGGGAACCGAGGACATTGCAGGCTGCAAGGCCCTTGGGAGCAAATAGCGTTGGGTCAGGTATCTGCCCGTGGGCCTCAATGCATCCTACACTCTGACCAATGGTGGGGAGCATCACTCTGAAGAACTCGCAGGAGGTTGGCAGCTGGGCGTGAGGTGTGAGTTGAGGCAATGACATAGGAGGAAAGAAACATATCCGTCCCTAGATCTATACATTGAGTAGGGAGGGAAATAGGGCGTCAAATACTAGCAGGGGCGTGTTCAACCAGACAGAGGTGTAGAATACGGCGACTATTAGTTGTTCAAGGGTTGAAGCGATGAAGTTACCGTGTCATGGGACTTCGAGGGTGGGAGTGGGAGGAAAAGTTCAAATTACTAATTAGGAGGTGAAATTATTGAAGGCGTGGGAGCTACAATGACTTTTGATGTTTTTGTACCTTAGGGGGTTGGACAAAGATTAGATTACAGAACGAGTAAAGCCCGACATCCTTGATAATTGGTGCAGTGCCGAAACGTACGCACCGTGCAGCCTCCAATAGATCTGACCTGCCAGCCATTCTCCTGCGCATTCCCAACGCGCCACGCTTGGATCCCAACCGGCTTATTACCATTATAAGCATCGAGAGCCTCCTGAATTGTCCGCGTGAAGTTGTGAAGAGCATGCAGGTCAGGTTCGCCTGGATCCAGTTTCGTGGTCGTTCGAATCTCCCAGCCATCAGGTTTTTTGCCATTTTATCCCAGCTCAATCTCTTGTTGCAGAACACCTGAAGATTTATATTGGCAATTATACGTGCTTCTTTTTTCTATCGAGACGTACACAATTGTGAACACAAAGGGAGGGTGTTGGTTGCCCCTGAGTTGTGGGGTTGCAGCGAGAGGGTCATCGAAAAGGGGCTGAGACCTTCCCGGGCCCTGTTTGCAAGCATTCCCAGAAAAATGGTGGTAGTATATGTAATAAGCCACTTGTTACTTGATGATGCTAGCAAATAATACAAAAATAGGGGATACAAGCCGTATCAGCGTCTGTGTCGCTTACAGGTCGATATTCACCTGATACCGCTCAATGACAAAGTGATAGCGGTAGGCAACAAAAGCGCCACCCGGACCCAGAACACGAACCGTATCCGAGACCCTCAGGTGCCACGGGCAATCCGTACTCGCCATGTTGGTAATACACTGCCCTCTCTGCTGCGAGTGCTGATGCACCAGATCGACATTGAGCCTCAACACGCCCGGCGCAAACACGGTATCCGTCTGGCTATACATGTTCTGCGTCGTCGCCCCAATACGAAACGGCCAGGTATACGCCTCACCAGCAAGTGCCTTGTCCACATCAATCGGTGGGTTGCCGGTGCCATCGGCCTCGGCAATCCGTCCGATAATATCCAGCCCCAACGCCGCAGCGATCCAGTTGGATACGCCGGCAGCATTGCTGGTGCGCACCCCGACATGTTGCATCAAAAAGATCAATTCAGCCGGGGGTCCGTCGTAGAGCAAGTTGTCCGGGTTGCCGCCAAAGTGCGGCCAGATGACTGGTTTGACGGCAAGGCTGGGCGATGAGAACCTCCAGTCGGACATCTTGAATATGGTCCCGATGGCTCTGGTGCTAGGCACAAATACGGCGAGGGCACCCGATACGACGGCCTCGCCGCTGGTCGGGGGCGACTCGTGCTCCATTCCGAGAAAGCGGACTTTGATCTGCGTGTGCCACTGCGCCAGGGCACGCGTCGAGTCCAACGGCACCCAGACGCTACCACCGCGGAAAGCGATACGTGCTGAGCCAAGGCCGTCAAGGTAGAAGGGCATGGTCCTGTCGAGGGGCAGACCGACTTTGGACT